TTTCTTTTAAAACGAAGTCGTTTAATAATTGCATATAAAGTAACAACTAATGAGAAGCCTTATTTGTATTTTAATTCTCTAGCAAGGCTAGAAAAATGGATGTCTGCCCATACTCGGACCTAATTGGTTACTTTTGTATGATCGAAAATCACGGGACTTTACTGTAATTATTATAGAACGGAGCGCGTTTTTACGGCAATTGTTCGTGAACCATTACTCTCATTGTGCCAATCAGAATACAGTTATACACTTACAGAAGTACGAATCTTGGGGTAAAGAAAATAGTAGATTTGATTTTTATAAGCTAATAATGTCTGTTTGATTGTATTTTTTAAAATAAATTTTAAAAGGGGGGGATTAAAATTTACTGGAATAACTAATAATAATTTAAAGAAACGAATTGGTAAAATTATCTTTGAATTTTGTTAGAATTCTTAGAGCATCCCAAAGAAGGAACAGTTTCGTAATTAGTTTTTAAAATAACAATATCTTCGTTTGAAAGCAGATAATTCGAGTTCGGGTATTGTTACTTATAAGTATTTAAAATAAGTTTATATGTTCTAATTTTTATCAATCGAAGTCCTCCTTATAACTTCCTTATAACTTATAACTTAACAGTTGATAAGTGAAACAGTCTCTTCACGACACGTGCTGCCCCCCAGTGGCACAGCGGTACGTCTACGGACTTATAACGCTAGAAACCGGGTTTCGATACCTTTGTGCTTAATAACAAACAACAATACGCACTATTTTTATACTAAAGGTTTGTTTGTTTGTTGTCGAACGCAAAGATACACAACGGGCTATCTGTGTTGTGCCCATCACGGGTATAGAAACCCGGTTTCTAGCATTATAAGTCTTCAGACTTACCTCTGAGCTATTGTGGGACTTATACTTAAGGAGCGTACTTATTGGTGGGCGTAAAAACAGTATCTTCAATTTTTATACCAAAACTAAGAATACGTTGGTAGCAATATGAAACGGTCTCTTCATAAAATGTGCTATTTTTATAATGAAGGAATGTGTGTGAAGATGGTAGTACTGGATTAATATTTACTAGCTGGAGTAACCGTCCCCTGGACGGAAGTTATATAAATTCTTGATTAATGAAAGGTTAGCTTAGGACATGAAATTTGCTTCCCTTACATGTAATTGTAAAAAACGCATAAACGCTCATAAAAAAACTGCGAAACACAACATGTGAAACTGAAAATTTATATGTATCTCCCTATGGACCCAACAAACTTTCTTGCCAAATTTGGTGAAGATCCATCCGCATCTTGCGAAGTAGTTACATGGACATACAGCAGACAGTACTATTATATATATATATAGATTCCTGTACGCCAAAGCGGTGACCTTTCGTGTTTAGTTAAAAAAATCAGTTCATCGACAGACTAGTGATAATTCACTGTGAGCAGGGTTTAGTTACATAAGTTAAACATCTAGAATTATTAGTGGATATCCATGACTCCAATGTTATCAAAACGGCGTTTAAAAGCGATTTCAAAACATCTTCACGTTCATCCTTATGTAAGTTTATTATAAGGCATATTCTGAAAGCAGAAATATCTTAAAATGTTAAGAACACGCTGTCTTCCATATACCGCATTTTCATTGTGTTTAAGTATTGATATTGTATTGCTAAAGGACGAGGAGACGTCAAAAAACATAACGTTTTCAACAAAAAACAGATTTAGTGTTGTCAAACGTGAAGCCCCAAAACCTAGATGCTTCTTGAGGATGGGCCAGCGGAGTGACCTAACTGCCGTAAAATTGTGCGCTAAAATTAGGAACAGCAACAAATTACCAAATTAATGAGAAGGAGGGCAAGTTTATCATCACAAAACGTATAATATTCAATACCATGCAATTAAAATTTCGTTATCGGTCACGTGATGACCACGAGCTCCAAATTATCCTTCATTTACTCCGATTAGGGAAAATTATAACTTAGTAATATTGGGCTCGCAGTGGGGGAATAAGGATATTTTCTCCAGAATGTGGTGTCCATGAATAAGGAGATTAGTGATAATGGTGGTCCTTTGATCGCTGTAGCCTACCATCTAGTGTAAGGTACAGCAAAAAAAAAAATGAGATGGGCGTTGTCCAGTGCCACAACATTGCCTAAGACGACTGTAATTAACTCTCTATCTCTCGTTGGCTTCTTTTCTTTGCAATACACATTGCGTACATTGTGTTGTCCTGTGTTTTTCTATGATCGTTAAATTAAATGAAATGCATAATATGATCTATATAATAAATATATATATATCACCGTCAGACATATCTTTGTTTCGATACGAAGTTCGGTCTCCAATGTAATGTTCGAGTTTTACTAAACTCTGTGTTACATTATCACATAATTTTTTAACTAAGAATATTTTTCTATTGTTACATAGCTGCGTTATCTCAAGCCAGAAACAATACTTAACGTAATATTTTAATACTTATACTAGTGTTGCTAGATAGTTTTTTTACTAAATTAACATAGTTTATACAATGTCAAACAAAGTTGCTCTATGTAATCTTCTGTAATTATGTAGGTTTTATTATTAACGTTAACAATAAACTTAATGGTAAAATCATATAAAATTTAAGAAGTAACTTTTTTAATCGTTTTTCCAAACAATCAGACAGACGTAAAAGATTTATCTGATTATGCTTTTCACGTTCTTCTTACACAAAAAAAAAATGTTTGTTGATTTTACACTGAATTTTTACTTATTTTAAATTATAGTTGAGAGTTTTCCTTCCATTTATTTCAGTCAATATCCGGTCTCTTAGGAAATCGTTTTCATAACTGCAGTTCACTATTTCCTAAGACGATTAACATGAAAAATTAAGAAGTGGAACGATGGATATACTAAATCAAGTAAAATTACGAGGTATTTCATTTTTAATGAGCACATTAGAGATGTAGATAAGAATGCGGGGAGAAAAAGTGAATTTGTCACAATGGAATAGGAACAAGCATCAAAAATGAAGTAAACGATTAAATTAAAGAAAGATAGACAGAATATATTAATTAGAACCAATCAATTTCACTGTTTGTATACTGTTTCAAGTTATTAGACACAGTTTTAAACTGGTAGAGAGAATATATTAATTACAAACAATAAACTTCAATACTTGAACACTGTTTGTTGTACACAGTTTTAAGTTAGGATTAGGCATGCTTTTTAATTACTAGATAAACAATACATAAATTGGTTTTCTCTTTTTGTATTTTAACAATAAACGCATTGCTTTTGATATATATAGTTCATGTTAAGAATGTATATTATGACTATCCTTATGAACTGTATACTTTTTTAACGTTTTCTGTAAGAAAATTTTGACTTGAGTTTATATTTACCTGATTTCTAAAAAAACTATTTTGCATGATTTTTTCTTAATTCGTAGCTTCGTTTTTTACTATAGAAAAAAAGTCTAATATATATACATTTTTCTGTCAGAGCTCTCACCAATTGGTTTGATTTAATATATACAGATGTTGTTTTTATCATATAATAGATGGAGCCACATTGCAAGAGAAACTGATTGGTTCTAATTAATATATTCTCTCTACCAGTTTAAAAGTGTGTATAATAACTTGAAACAGTATACAAATAGTGAAACTGATTGGTTCTAATTAATATATTCTGTCTACCAGTTAAAAAGTGTGTATAATAACTTGAAACAGTATACAAATAGTGAAACTGATTGGTTCTAATTAATATATTCTCTCTACCAGTTTAAAAGTGTGTATAATAACTTGAAACAGTATACAAATAGTGAAACTGATTGGTTCTAATTAATATATTCTCTCTACCAGTTTAAAAGTGTGTATAATAACTTGAAACAGTATACAAATAGTGAAACTGATTGGTTCTAATTAATATATTCTGTCTACAAGTTTAAGTCTAGATTAAAAGGGCTTTTCAGATTTAAAAACAAAAATATCCACAGAATATCTCGTTAGTGGTATATGAGCGTCAGAAGTGCAGCCAGTAATATATTGGATCAACCAGTAGAAGGTTCTGTAGAGAAATAAAATAAAGCTGTGACGTTAAAACATACAACGTTATATATATATATATATATATGTCCAGTAATATATTGGATCAACCAGTAGAAGGTTCTGTAGAGAAATAAAATAAAGCTGTGACGTTAAAACATACAACGTTATATATATATATATATGTCTAGTAATATATTGGATCAACCAGTAGAAGGTTCTGTAGAGAAATAAAATAACGCTGTGACGTTAGAACATACAACATCAGTACTATTACCAATCTCTGTCTAAACGAATCAGAGGCTGTGTCTAACTCCAGTTCCTTCGAATCTGATGCTGTGTCTACCTTCAATTTCTTTGAAGCAGATGCTGGGTCTAACTTCAGTTTTTCTTAAGCTGATTTTCTATCTAACTTCAGTTTTTTTGAATCTGGTGCTATGTCTACCTCCAGTTTATTTGAATATGGTGCTATGTCTACCTCCAGTTTCTTTTAATCCTATAGTGTGATTAACTCTAGTTCCGTCGAATCTGATGCTGTGTTTACCTCCAGTTTCTTTGAATATGGTGCTGTGTCTACCTCCAGTTTCTTTGAAGCTGATGTTCTGTCTACCTCCAGTTTATTTTAATCTGATTCTCTGTCTTACTCCAGTTTCTTCTAATCTCATGCTGTGTCTACCTCCAGTTTCTTCCAATCTAATGTTGTGTCTATCTCCAGCTCCTTCAAATCTAATGCTGTGTCTACCTCCAGTTTTTTTAGTCTGATTCTGTGTCTAACTCCAGTTCCTTCAAATATCACGTTGTGTCTACCTCCAGTTTCTTTAAATCTAATGCTGTGTCTACCTCCACTTTCTTTGAAGCTGATGTTTTGTCTACCTCCAGTTTATTTTAATTTGATTCTCTATCTAACTCCAGTTCCTTCAAATCTCATATTGTGTCTACCTCCAGTTTCTATTCATCTGATTCTGTGTCTAACTCCAGTTCCTTCATATCTCATGTTGTGTCAACCTCCAGTTTCCTTGGATTTGATGCTGTGTCTACCTCCAGTTTCTTTTAATCTCATTCTCTGTCTAACTTCAGTTCCTTCAAATATCATGTTGTGTCTACCTCCAATTTCTCTGAATCTAATGCTGTGTCTACCTCCAGTTTCTTTGAAGCTGATGTTCTGTCTACCTCCAGTTTCATTTAATCTTATTCTATGTCTAACTCCAGTTCCTTCAAATCTCATATTGTGTTTACCTCCAGTTTCTTTAAAACTGATGTTCTGTCTACCTCCAGTTTCTTTGAATCTGATGTTCTGTCTACCTCCAGTTTCATTTAATCTGATTCTGTGTCTAACTCCAGTTCCTTCAAATCTCATATTGTGTTTACCTCCAGTTTCTTTAAAGCTGATGTTCTGTCTGCCTCCAGTTTATTTTAATCTGATTCTGTGTCTAACTCCAGTTCTTTCAAATCTCATGTTGTGTCTACCTCCAGTTTCTTTTAAGCTGATTCTGTGTCTAACTCCAGTTCCTTCAAATCTCATCTTGCGTCTACCTCCAGTTTCTTCGAAGCTGGTGTTCTGTTTACCTCCAATTTCTTTTAATCTGATTCTGTGTCTAATTCCAGTTCCTTCAAATCTCATGTTCTGTCTACCTCCAGTTTCTTCGAAGCTGGTGTTCTGTTTACCTCCAATTTCTTTTAATCTGATTCTGTGTCTAACTCCAGTTCCTTCAAATCTCATATTGTGTTTACCTCCAGTTTCTTCGAAGCTGGTGTTCTGTCTACCTCCAATTTCTTTTAATCTGATTCTGTGTCTAACTCCAGTTCCTTCAAATCTCATGTTGTGTCTACCTCTAGTTTATTTGAATCTAATGCTGTGTCTAATTCTAGTTTATTTTAATCTGATTCTGTGTCTAATTCCAGTTTCTTCAAATCTCATATTGTGTTTACCTCCAGTTTCTTTGAAGCTGATGTTCTGTCTACCTCCAGTTTATTTTAATCTGATGCTGTGTCTACCTCCAGTTCCTTCGAATGTGTTGTTGTGTCTGTCTCGAGTTCCTTCGAATGTGATGTTCTGTCTACCTCCAGATCCTTTGAAGCGGATGTTCTGTCTACCTCCAGTTTATTGCAATCCGATGCTCTGTCTATCTCCAGTTTCTGTGAGCTGTGAAAAGTTGAAAACGTATTTCATATACATATTTAAGGTGGTCTGGCCTGGCATGGTCTGAAGGTTAGGGCACTCGACTCGCAATCTATAGGTCGCGGGATCGAATCCCGTTATCAAAAGTGCTCGCCCTTTGAGCCGTGAAGGAGTTATAACTTGACGGTCAATCCCACTATTCGTTGGTAAAGAGCAGCTTAAGAGGTAGTAGTGGCTGTGATTGACTAGCTACCTTTCCTCTAGTCTATCAATTCAAAATTAGGGATTGATCTCGAGTAGCTTTGGGGGAATTCAACAAAACAATCCCCCCTTTAGTGGTTCAACAGTAAATATGAAGACATAGCTCTAAAACCAGAGTTTCGAAACCTTTGTGAGCACAGCACGGATAGTCTATTGTGTAGCTTTTTGCTTAAAACAACAAACAACAAAACAAATAATATTTAAGACACAGCATGTAGATAGACATCTTTTATCATCCTTATTAAGTGTACTACAGCAATTTCTTTTTGACCAATCCTACTGGATATTGTAGAAGAACAATGCTAACCCTACCAGTAAACAAGCGATCAGAATGATAAACTCCGCTCTATTGAAATCGATGTAACCCCATTCTGTGTTTTAGATTCCAATATATCTTTGTTTGTCATTTGATGATTTTTTCGTGAAAATAAAGAGACTATATATTGCCATTGTTTATAAAATATCCTGACTATAAAAAAAGTGTGTTCTTTCCTTTATAATACTTCTGGGTAATGCCATTACGGAAAACTGATTATAGCCTTAAACTCACCTAAAAAACTGTATACTTCCGTTATAAAACTCCTAAGTAATGGCATTACACAAAACTGATTATCAGCCCTAAACACATCTTAAAACGTCCTACACCTGAAATATAACTCGCGCGTAATGCCATTACAAGAGGTTTATCAGCTATAGAGTAATCTAAACAAAGGTATTGTTTCCGTTATAAGAGAGAGTCGGGCATAAGTAATGCCATTAAAAAAAGCTGGTTATCAGCCCAAAAATCGTCCAAACAAACTGCACTAAACTGTTACAAGACTAGCACGTAGTGCCATTACAGAAAACAGATTAGCAGCCTCAAAATCATCATTACAGTTGGTTAACATCAACTAAAAAAATTATAATGACCTTTATAACATAGCCATGTAATAAAAAGCAGTAACTCAACAGTAGCATGAACAATACATAGAATTAACAAAACCCACAAGCAAACCCCACTAGTTCATGAACAACACAAAGAAGTAACAAAACCCACAAACAAACCAAACAAACACACAGAAATTAACGAAACCCACAAGCAAACCCAACTAGTTCATGAACAATACAGAGAATTGACGAAGCCCACAAGCAAACCCAACTAGTTCATGAACAACACACAGAATTAACGAAACCCACAAGCAAACCCAACTAGTTCATGAACAATACAGAGAATTGACGAAACCCACAAGCAAACCCAACTAGTTCATGAACAACACACAGAACTGACGAAACCCACAAGCAGACCCAACTAGTTCATGAACAATAAGGAGAATTGACGAAACCCACAAGCAAACCCAACTAGTTCATGAACAATAAGGAGAATTGACGAAACCCACAAGCAAACCCAA